GCAGGAACTCCTCGTTCCCCCCCTTTCCCTTCTTTGAACACTGCTTTAGGAACCAGGCCTTGTTCCTTAGACTCACAAAAGCAAAGTGGACATGAAGTTTCAGTGGCACAGTTTTCACAAGTACATGTTGAAACAAAACTACGAGGCTGACTTGCTACATGGCAGCAGCTACCACGCTGTCTCGCAGGAGGCCTGGGGCAGGCAAGCGAAATGCCCCAGGCCCTGCAATGCAGCAAATCCACCACAGAACCAGCTCCCAGGTGAGATGAGTATCAGTCTCCGGTAACATGTTTGCTTGTCCACCCTTAGAGCTAAGAGAAGGGTGCCTGGGTGGAGACACCACAAAGGAATAAGGAGTGCTGAGCTCAAGGATGGGGAAATGCAAGTTAAAAAAGTATAAAAAAATTAATGTAAAATACAGGCTACAAATAAATTTTTTCAAGAATACTGGCACATGGCAATCTGAACTCAGATTTTTTTTTTCTTCCTATTAAGGACAGGGAAATAAATTTAACAATTTAATGCTCTGTGCAAAAATGTTCACCGATATCAAACTGATACATTTTACCATCTCACTGTAGTGTCTGAACAGCAAGGTAGATGAATTGGTTTCCAGCATTACAGGCAACACTAGATAATACCTAAACAAGATAATGTAAACTTTATCCTTAAGGCAGCTGGTACTAATGCTGCACACAGGCATTGCTCAATGCCCATTACAGTAATGGGACATGTAGCACTTTAAAACAAGTAAAAAGAAAATAGCATTATTGGACTAAATGACACATGTTGTGAAAATACTTTCCCTTTCACACAAACCATGAAATATTTGGACATCTAGAAAAATAATGCACCTACTCCTCCAACTTCAGCCTGTTCTTTTACAAATATTTCAAAATACTGATAAATAATAGTGACTGCAAGCAGAATGCCAGTGCCGGACCCAATGGCTCCTAGAAAGTCAGCCAGTACTGAAAGGGCACCGATGCACAAACCACCAAATGCAGCTGCTGTAGGGATATACCTGTTCCAAAGGAAAAAAAGAATAATGAATTTTCATCCAAGGATTCTAACAATACATCTGCTACTAAAACAACCAACTAGAATATTGAGCAACAAATTTAGTCTGCTGTTAGCTCTTATTATCTTCCATTGCACAAAGTAGAAACTAAAATAAATATGCACTGATAGGAAAGCTGTGTGAATAACTGAACACTGGCAAAGATTTTCAATTGAAAGTATAACAATTTTACGTATATGCATGCTACATAGCCTCCACAGGACCAAGAATAACTGCTTTGATTAAATACATAGGGATAAATCTACCTTACAATATAGATCTGCAGGCTTTAAAATACTGCATAGAATGCTGCTTTTGCAGTATCATCTTAGTTCAGGAATGGTAAATTAAACACCTGTGAGAATCAGTATATCTTCCTTTTACAAACATGGAAGAGATTCAACCTAAAATCCCTCATTATGCCACTTAAACAAAAGACACTACAGGTTAATCGCTTACCTACTGCTATAAACATCATCTGCACTACTGGGAAAGGCAACAGCTGAAAGGGAAGAATCCTGACATTTGCAGTGGAAACAGGTCTCAGATTTTTCTGAGAATATCTGCTCTTGTTGACACCTTCCCAGCTCTTTTAACCATCCTGTGCAGCAGCACTGCTGGAAGTCAGCCCTTCCTTACCTGTTAAGCTCGTGAACCATCGAAGTATCCCTGTGGCCTCTCATCACCATTTGCTGTTCTTTGAGTTGCTTGGCAACCTGCAAAAAACATAATTTTATCAAACTGCTGCAGTGTTTCACAGTCACCTGATATTTAGTCAGAGTAAGAACTGATCAGTTAGTAGCTCATCAGTTCTAGATTCAAGGCAGTGTTTGAAAACATCTAGGCACATCAGAACACTTACATCTTTTGCTGATGACCCGGAAACCTCAATCCAAGTCTTTGAGAAGAACGCACAGGATCCCAACATAAATATTATATAAACTATGACATGGACAGGATCCTCAAATATTGCACCCATGGATTCAGGAGGGGACAAGTAGTAGCACAGACCACCAACAGGGTAAGAGCGAGCAGGGCCACCGCCACTGACATCCTACAAGAGAGGAACACAAAGGCAATTAGTTATTTCTCACAGATCTCTCACATTCCTATCCTGTATTTAGAGAGGAATTCCTCTTCAATGTTTAAAACAGCTTTTATATACAAATGTTAAAAAGTATTCCATTTTTCTGCTGGCTAAATACCGAACTTTCACAATGAAGTAATATATACAAATAATTTTCTGAAGTAAAAGAAGTGGTGAAATACTTACTGCCCACTGTCCTAATAAGTTCACCAAGAAGTTGCCACTAAAACGAACAGACAACATCTGGGAAATAACGTAGAGGTTCGAAACTAAGGCAGACTGCAGAATGATGGGAATGTTGGAGGTATAAAAGAGCTTGATAGGATAGCTACTGTACTGTCCACGATATCGTGCAGACTTGATAGGTAAATCAACACGAAATCCCTACGGGAAAGAACACAAATGCACCAAGTTTATTTCCAAGATAGAAATTATTCCTAGTGTGCCTAAAAGCTATTCCTGACCAGGGCGTTCTTGCGAGATGAACAAGGAGTGCAAGGTCTGAGACAGGAAAACCCAAAGGCTTTTTGCTACAGTCAGTATTACAAACGTTAAGGATTTATTCATGTTACTGCTTGGTAACATTACATTATTTTTATATAAACATTACCTCTCCTCTGATAAATTATATTCCTCTAAAACACACTTTATAGAACAGGGTTTGATAAAAGCCTTTAGTGGCTTTTAACTTAACTAGCCAGTCAACAGCAGACTTCTGTGTACTAAGTCCAGCCTTCTGTTTTCTGGGACAGGAAAAGCCCCATGGATTTGAAAACCAGATAATTCTTTGTTTTTTGCCAGCACTCTGACTCAACAGCTTAGAAAAATAAATTACATTTTAGCCACACACACACAAAAAAAAGAAAAAAAATCACCTTATGGCTCCTCCTTTAGCATCCATTTTAGTAAATTCTTAAAATTAAAAAGAAATACTAGCTAAGCATTTCAAGAAAATTAGGGTTTTCTCTTTTCCCCCTAATTTCTAAGCTTATTGTTTTTCCCCCTAATTTTTCGTGTAATTACATGGTTGTTTTCTAGACAAATCTGTATCACGCACACCCCAAGGAAGCAAGGTTCTCCAGCTCTGTCCAAAAGTATTCTCTTAAGTCAACGATGAATATAAAGTATATATTATTTGTGTAATACAAGCATGGCAGTTCTAGAATCCATTTTTAGTAAAAATAATCTCACAGGGTGTATGGCATTCAATGGAATGTGAGATTACATCACTGAGTGCATCTGGCTCTAAAATTTAACAGCTGTACTGCCACTGAGGTATGTTACTGAAATAACAATATTGAAATAAAAAAAAGTGTTCCTTACTCAAAGCTAACATACTTCAGTTACTCTACTTTAACTTTTGCATTTTTTTCCAATGACTGCAGTCCCTAGAGGGTCCAGGCACTTCCACCTATGCAGTTGCAGAGCTCCTCTGAGGAATTTCTCATTTTACCTGAAAATATATGACTACAGCAAACACAAATACTGTAGCAATCAGATTCATGAGATTGGGCAAATTCTGTCGGTAAAAAGCCTCCCGCAAAGCCCGGACTTTGTCGGTTCGTGTAGCCAGAAGATGAAATAATGCAATCACAGCACCCTCAAACTCTGTTCCTGCACCAAGAAGAAAAGTAAAAGAAATTTTAAAATGTAAATTAAAAACATTAAAAAAAGAGTGTCTTTCTTTTGGAAATTTTAAAATGTAAATTAAAAACATTAAAAAAGAGTATCTTTCTTTTGGAAA